TCCTACGTGGTAGCGTCTTTTGTTCGTTACTCTCGCCGTCCCCTCCTCGTTCTTGCTCAGAGGTATCCGCTTATATCCTTTTGACCAGGCTCCGAGATTCTGGCGGAAACTTTGGTTTCAGCTAATATCAACATTCGCTTTGCGTTAATTTCTTTTGATTGGCCAAAATTATTTTATTTTCCGGCGTTTCTTTCTTTTTCATTTTTTTATAACGGAAGTTATGCGCGGAGACGCCCCGATTTTTTTCTAGTTTTCAATCACAAATATGTAGGCTCTGCAAACTTCCGACGTTTTCAGTCGAGTTCAGTCTTTTCTTGTTCTTCCTCTTTTTATTTGAGGGTTGCCTTCTCGTTAGTTGAAAGAGAAGTATATATAGAGAAGTTTAGAGAGAGAGGGAGAGGAAAAGAAAGAGATAAGGGTTTTAAAAGAAAGCGCGCATATGCCTTATTTTAATTTGAATCATTTTTTTATTTTTTTTTGTTTATATATATATATTTTATATAGTATTTTATTTGTTTTTTTTTTATCGGGACTCGCTACAAAGCTATTTCAATTCTTCTACGTCAATGTTATCTTCCAATGGACTGGATTGTTTCGTTTATATTTTTATAATGGAAATTATATTTCGTCACAAAAGAACGAAAACAGAATAAGAATAAAATGAACAAAAATGACGTAAAATATTCAAACTATTTTTTATATCCTTCCCTCTCCGTTAGTGAGTATGCTTCTTGATTCTGTCTAAAGGCAGAATACAACGGCCACTCTTATTTTTTTATGGGATGGTTGGGTCTTACTAACATCTGTTATGTCTAGTTTGAATGTTTTGCTCTACTTTAGTTTCGTTTTCTGGGTTCATCCCCTCCTCTCTCATTTCATGAGCATATATTTTTATTAAAAAAATGGGAAAAAATAGACATTTGAACTATTTGTACATATTGAAATTCCCTGTGAATTTGTGGCATTGTGGTATATGTAGTATTGAATGGTGAGGGATCAGTTTTTTGTGGTGAATGAGCAAATTGTATTGCATGAATTGGTCGTGAATCAGATTTGCTAGGTCTGTGACAGAAAGTGTCGCCCAGCCGTTCCCCATTCCCCCTTTGTTCTTGTGCCACAATTGTCTTAATTAAAACAATAAATATATAAATTAGAAGCAAACAAGTAGGCCATTATTAGGCCGTCAGAGTGAAAGCGTTTTAAATCGGTTCCGATGTCTCTTTAGAAGTTAAACATTTTCACTCTGTCGGCTTGTCATAAACTAGGAAATAAAAATCAACAAATCCCATCAAAAAAAAAAAAAAAAAAAAAAGAAAACCGAATCGGCACATGATATTCAAAATCGGCTCAATATCAAAAGAAAAATATATAATGAAAATATTTAAAAAGAAAAAAAAACAACATAGATCTGTTCTGCTTTTATGGAAGTCAATCTTTTCAAAAGGATACTTAACGTCAATAGTCACACATATCTAATTAGAAACACCGAAGTCATTTCGTTGTGGGCCTCATCACTTTTGTTGCAGGCCTCACCATTTTCGTTGCGGGCCTCGCCACTTTCGTTACAGGCCTTGCCACTTTCGTTGCGGGCCTCAACACTTTTGTTACAGGCCTCGCCATTTTCCATACAGGCCTCACCGCGTTTGTTGCGAGGTGTGGACGTTTTTCAGTAAATATTTAATGACTCCTGGAGCATTTGTCCCGCAAACAACATTTGACAGACTTATGTGAATCCGTGTAAATATAAGAAGAAAAACAGGAATTTTCAACAGACAATTAATGTCTATATTAACAAAAAGAAATTACACTAAATGTGTATACCATTGAAAGGAAAAGAAAATACATAAAAAAAAACTTAGCTATTAAGAATGTCCTTTGTGTGTGTGTGTGTGTGATGCGCCTGTGTGACACACACATATATGTATATGTGTGTGCGTCAGAGTTCAGTCGTCAGTGGGCCAAGGAAACGAACGCTCTTAAATAGACTTAAACAGTTTCACCTAACGGACGTTTGGCGAAGCCAAGTGAGGTAACTCACATTATTCTAAAACCCAAATTATATATGAAGTTAAATAAATTCGTTATTTGGGATATGTCATTATAACGTTTTCTTTTTCATTCAAATATATTTTTCTAATTTTCGGACTGTTTTCTTGGTTTCCTTTCATAAATCATTATCAAAGTTGTAGAATGTATTGTAGAGTGATTTCGCAGTGGAGGCTTGTATTTGTATTAAGTTGGTCCTAAAATAGGTTCGACGTACAAAACGTTAGGAACTTGATATAATAGGTAATGACGCAGAGTAATCTAGTTATGGTCGCTGATACTTTAGTATTCGACTAACTGTCGTCCGACATCGACTCACTGACTGACTGACCCGTTACTCTTACTACTCCTACTTATAGGTGGGAGAGTCTATTAACTATAGAATAGGTGTGTTCCACCATAACAGAATGTCAGTTTCATCGTTTTTCAAATATCGCGTCTTCATATGAGATGTCAGTTTTTTAAAATGTCGCATCTTTCCGTGACGGCCATGTTGTCGTTTATTTTATTAATGAAATATGTTGAATATGCTTGTTCAGAAATTTGATAACATTTTATTGGTGTTGGGTTGTTTATGGTTTCTAGTATTTGTAGTTGTTTGCAACCCCCCAAATCTCCATTCTCTTGTGGCGGACTTCACCACATTAATTTAACTTTAGATTAGGAAACAGGGTTCACACAGAAAAAGGATAATCAAAAGACATTGTTACACATAAAATATGTATTTAACAAGATGTACAATATCAAACATCGATGTGAAGGAAAGCATGCATTTAAGTAAGAAAAGGTTGAAGTAACCAAGAGTTGTCTCTCTTTAACTGTTATTTTAGTGTTCCAAAGTTCACTGGAAGAATGTTCATGAGAGTCTCTTGTAATGATTGTTCTTGAAAGATATTGCTGTATAAGAAGAGTTTATGTGAATGCGTACAAGGTATGTTCAGCATGTGAGTGGTGTGTGTGTGAGTGAGAAAGTTGGCGCGTGGTTTCAACTGTCGTGGATTCGTTTGGCAGTTGAATTTCTCACTAATGGGATGAAAAAGACCTTAGCTTAAATAATCGACTGTAGGCTCCAAATCGTTGCGCGGGAAGAATTATTCTTCACTTGGAAACTATCTGATTGGTTGGCATCGACCAATCAACAAGCGAGCTTTGGGGAGACTTAAGAAAGCTTCTGTGATCCGTTTCTCCTAAAAGTGCGCAAAATTGACTACTTGAAAATAGAGCGATTACAAAATTGTCGCATTACTGCGATTTGTAAATTGCCTATAATAACGTAGTGGAGATTAATTAACCAATGAATGCTTGGCGTTATATGTGATTTGTATTTTTGTATGTATGTATGTTTGATCGTGTGGGTTGCCCCACTTGGTTCCGCCAAAAGCGCTCATTAGATGGCGCTCTTTAAATCTACACAAGGGCAATTATATTCTCTCAATTTCCCTTTTTAACTCTTGCTTTCAGATGTATTCTAACGTAGATAAAGAACGCTGCCGACAGGGCATATTCGCTTCCTTACTTTTATTTATACTCGGACTCACATGAGTCCGCTAATATTGTTTTTGCAGGATAAATGTTCCAGTGACCCATATTTAATATAAAATGTCTATCTACACACTACAACCAAAGAGGTGATACCTACAACATAATGGTGACTTCTATCTACCCAAACATAGTATGCCGCAACAATCGTCAATAGATACTTAAGGAAAAATTGGACATTAAATATAAACTTAGCTATTTTTGTTTTTACTAGTCTCAGTCTGACTATTTTCGCCCGACTAATGCTTTTTTTTATTTATTTATTGTTTTCATTTCAAAATTTTATGCCTATTTGCTATCTTCAAATAATTTAGCAAATAATGACCTGAGTGAAATGTCAGGCGTGAGATGATTCCTTGCTGCTGGTCAGCAAGGAATGATCTCAAGCCTTGTAACGAAGGACACTGCAAATAATCCACGTTTACCCTAACATATGCAAAGAGGAATTACTAGCCATGACAGGAAGAGCTGACTGCCCGTGTCATACTTGACAAGTTTTCATCTTTTTTTTTTTTTTTAATTTTCCTGGATGCGTGATCTGGTAAAACCCGTTGAAGCTATATATGTAATGTAATGTATATTCTATTTTTATATTTACTTCAAAAACTTAAAATATCGGTTTTTCTTTAACTTTTGAGTGATTTGACAAACGAAAAGAATTAAAAAAAAAAGCAAGATTGTGTGTGTGTGTGTGAGAGAGAGAGAGAGAGCGACAGAAAGAAAGAAAGAAAGAAAGAAAGAAAGAAAGAAAGAAAGAAAGACATACAAGAAGTATGTAGTGTGTGTGTACGTGTACACACGGGTGTATGACACACATTACAAATCTTCAGGCTTTCTTTTCATATAGATCTGGAATATATTTGTGAATTTAACGAAATTAATAATTTTAAAATTAAAAAATTAATGATTTTTTATTGTAATGCATTTTTTATTCACTGTGTTAAGAGTAAAACGTTAAGCCTTATATTTATTTACACGCAATTGAATAAATAAGTCATAAAGAAATTTAACAAATTGGTTCAATTGATAAACAGAAAAAAATGTTTATTATTAAACGGGGTAAATTTTAACTATACACCGGATTCCTTTTTTTTTCTACATTTTCATAATTTTTTTTTCTAACTCGATTTTTCTTCGTACTATGAGTAATTAACGATGGTTCTACCAAACATAACTTCACTTAACTAACAACAAGTGATAAAAGATAGCAATAAGATAAGAAGAGAGGTTGAGATTACTAACAGACAAGTATCACAACAGAAAGCGCGTGAGAAAGAATCACGTGGTCTGGTCACATGACTTTCAGCTATAAATTCAAGTCTCTGCAAGCAAATATTACACAGTAATCATATTTGCATTTATCTACGCACTTTCACTTCTCAGATACACCTTAAAACAGCACTGGAATCTTAGACATGGATCAAGTAAGTAGACGATAATAATTAATTATTATTCATTTATGTCTTTATTTTACTTTTTGGATTGAATAAGTTTATGTTAAAAAAAAGCTGGAAGTCCATTGTAGTTTTTATTTTATTTTCAATTAAATTATAAATAGCTCACATGTTTGAAATTAGTTTTTCTTTTAATCTGGTAATAATAATTTATGTATTTTTTTTTTTACAGATTAAAAATTAATTTGTACTTCTATATTTTCATTATTTAAAATCTCTTAATAATGAGGTTGATTTTTTTTTTTTTTCTAATTTATATTTCCGCTTCTTTTAAGGAAAAAATGTATTGTTTCATAATGTTGCTGTTTTTGTTTGGTTTGAAAATAAAAATAAAATCCTTTATTGTTTCTTTTTTAGTTCTATTTTCCCTTCTTTTCACTTCCCCTTTGTTAAAAATGTTTTCTAAAAGGGGGGGATATACTTTTTTATTACCCTTTTTTTAGCCTTTATTTAGTTTTTTTAAAAAAAGTCTTTCTATCATTTTCTCTAAAGTTTCATAAAAAGATGTCGATAAATTTCAATTTCTTGGTTCGTTGACAAAATGTCATCATTCGATCATTATTTGCGAATTTCTGCTTCTTAAAAGTGGATTTTTATTTTTATCTCCTTTTACTTTCCCTCTAACTTCAATATGTTGAATATTCTTAAGAAATTTTATTTTAATACTAACAGATCAAATCTTGATGCATGACCTGAATTTTTTCTTCAGCCAGTAAAAATTAATTAAAAAAAAAAAAAAAGCCAAGTTTTCTCTTAGTTTAAATTGAAGTTAATTATTTTTAAATGCAAACATTTAAGAAAATGAAAGTAAAAAGTAAATGCATTTTTTTTTTTTTTTTTTTTGTCATTTTCATTTTATTTTCCGATTTTCGTCTGACTGTCCTATGATGTATTTAGTTTTCGTTTTCTCGGACGTTCGTTATCACCAGAGGAAAAGGATTATTTTAAATGCCGACAAAAAAGAAAAGAAAAAAAAAACTAAGAAAAAAAGAAAGACGTCATTATTGTTTAAAATGCTGTTTTTGTTTCCTCTCGGCCATTTCTAAGAATTTGTTAATTTTGGGATTTATTTTTCCCCTATCGAATTAATTCTGATGGATTTGGCTAGAGATGAAGCGAATAATAAATCTTTTATTTTCTTTGCATTTTGAATCTATTTATTTTTATTTCCATTTAAAAAAAAAATAAAAAAAAGGTATCTATTTTTATTTTTTATTAATTATTTTTAGACTGCTAGCAAAAAAATAAAAAGGGCAACATGACATTCATTTTCCTCCCTCGATCAAATGATTTCCTTCCTGAAACATAATGAGACACACACCTTAATGAAAATAGAATCCTTTGAATATTTGCCTTTTAATCAAAACCAGGCGTATTTCTACTATTGTATTGTATATTGTACCAGACAATATTTTGCCTGCTTTAAAAAAAATTTTTTTTTTTTTTTTTAACTAAATGAAATCAAGACTTGTCATTACAAATAATATGGCTATTGACAGTGTGAAACAATATCCTTGCAAATATTTCTGTAGTTGGTAACATAACAAAGCCTGGTGTGATATTGAATGTTCATCTATTTTGGTATCATCTGGGATGAACCCAATACACATTGGAATCATAAATCAACCTCTTCCAGGACAAAGGTCAAGGGTTCCTCATTGACATTATTCAACTCGGATTCTGGTATTTCCTTCATATATACACTTTAATGTGGTGTAAAGGTTAGCAAGCAAGTAATTACAATTCGTTTCTGTGTTTATCCTTGCTAGCTTATGCTTAGTAAATTTCGACATGATGAAATGGTTAGCAACCTTATCTTGCTAGATTATTTACAGCTGACTGTTTATATCCTTGTGCCGCATCTAACCTACACTTAGTAAATCACTGTTTGGACACTGCAAGGTAGTCTAATGATTAACATGCTTGCCTCTATGACTAAGTAGTGAATGAGTTCCTCACTGGGTGCTCCATGCTTGTGATTTTGTGCTACACTTTTTGTGCTTACTAAATCGCTATCTATATTAAATGTGAATTTAAACATAAAATTAACTAACAAAAATAAGCTAAATTATGCCCAAAAGAAAGATTGGCGCATAATCAAGGTATATAAGATGCCTAAAACACTTGTGGTGTCAGTTTAACAACATTTATAAGAGGAAACTACAAGAACTCCTACAGAAGATAGTGAAGAAAATAGAAAAGAAAGACTAAACATCAGTTGTATGAAGACAGAATACATGGTCATCAGCAAAAGGAACAGCCCAACATGCAAATTACAATTTGAAGACGCCAAAATCAAATCTTTTTTCTTTTTTTTTATTATTATTTTTTTATTAAATTTTAAAGAATGAGAAAAACTACTATTAAGGAGAGAGAATGATAAAAGAACAAGAATTAAGACAATGACAGTGCATTTAAATTTTTGAAAACAAACTAACTGGGAAGCAAGAAGCTGAAGCAGTTCCACAAGAGAGAAGTGCGATTGAAGACACTTAGCATAGAATTTATGGTTATATCTAGCCATTTCAACTGTAAAATGATGAGACCTTGCCACCAATCTAGTACTGTACTCATAACATCATACCAAAGTGGATAGTTCATCAGAACAATTACCATGAAAGTATTTATAGAAAAGGCACAGAGATGCTATGGTGGTGAGAAAGGGACAAGCCAAGATGCAAGGTCAGGATCAATAATATTGTAGATTCTTGAATTTTATCAAGAATCTCTAAATATATAGCAGGAGTACCAGACCAGATGTGGCAGCAATATTCAAGGACTAATGGTAGACTTATTTTTTTAGCTGCAGATTTAGGAACTGATTCAATATACTCTTTCCACTTCATGTTAGCTGAAAATGTTAGTCCGAAAAGGTGCAATGAGTCACTTTCCCAGAGGTTTGCATCAGCCATGCTATTGGAAGGTAAAAAAGGGTTCTCTCAGATGATTAAAAAAGAGCAGTGTTGTTTTTGCAGTGTTAAAATTAACAAGCCATTCCTTGTTCCATTTAACAACAGATTGTAGATCATATTTGAGTTCAGCTTCCAATTTGACCTTATTGAACCGATCAAACTTACTATTAAGACAAGAATAAATATTTGTCATCAACATAGATACCAAAGTTGAGAACTGATGACATCAGGGAGGTCATTTATGAAAATTAGAAACCATGTATATCCAAGGATAGACAGTCCTGGGGAACATTTGCATTAACACAAAAAGATCTAGAAGAATGGCCATTCAAGACAACTCTCATTTTGCGACTTGATAAGCAAGACTGAATCAGTGAAAAAAATAGGTCCAGAAATACCATAACCTTTCAATTTTTGAACACCAGTATGCCAAACCCTGTCAAATGCCTTTGAGATATCCAAAGCCTGAGCTTCACCATACTTATCTAAAGGTTGATAGATTCTTTCAGCTATAATCACTAATACATCAGCCATTGACCTAGAGAAACAAAAGCAGACCCTAGAGTTCAGAGATAATTAAAGCCTCTTGTACTTTGCCAGAACAAGGTAAAAGGCTGATAGAAGAATCAAATAGATTGCTCAAGTTCTTAAAGACTGGAACTGCAGAAGATTTCCAACAAGCAGGAAAGCAAGAAGCATCAAGGCATTTAGTGTAGAGTTTAGAAAACCCAGGAGCACATTTCTTAAGGATGATTGTAGGGATACCATCAAGTCCACATGCTTTGTGAGGATCCAGTTTAGAAATGATAGCAAAAACCATAAACTGAGTTATATACATATCTCTCAATAGAGACTTGGTTTTTAGTGGAAAGTCTGGCAAAGGTATTCTAGATGACTCTAAAGTAGAATTTAGAAACAAAACATTCTGCTTTATTAGCAGATGTTAACACCTCAAATTGAGTGAAGGGAGGAAGGATATATTTAACACTATTACACAGCCACCAGTATTCACATGAACCAAACATGTCAGAGGCTATACAGTGCCTCATTCTATCAATAAACAAAGACTTCACCTCTTTGAGGGCATGTTTACAATTACTTTAAGCAGTCACAAATAGGTGTCTATTGTAATCCGAATTATCACATTGGTACATCCATAAAAAGTGATTCTTATGGGTTATAGTGATTAAACAGGCTGGTGTGAACCAAGAAGATTGTGGCTTCAACTAATGTTTGTGAAAAATTCTAAATAGGAATGTTCAGAATATCAATCCAAGGGGCCTCCCAAATAAAGTTACAAAATAAATCCCAGTCAGTATGCAGGTAAGAGAAAGAAGTCTTGTGAAGAAGAGGTCTCTTTCATATGGATGACTCAAAAGAAACTTCAACAGATACTACAACATGATCTGAATGGCTAAAAGACCAGTGTTGTGATGCTCGACAAGAGCTAGAAGAGTTAAGGAACAAATCAAGTAAAGAAGAATGTTGAAAACAAGTAGGGAAATCCACTATTTGACTGAGGGACTGAGCAATGGTAAAATGGGACGTCTGAATACTGGCAACATTAGTAACATTAGAATGCTTAAGCCACTTGATGGGATGACCATTAAAGCCAAACACAAAAATATTCACAGATGGATGTAGAGAAAGAGCCATTTATCTACATCCATCTATGAATATTTAAATTACAAGTTTAAATATTTGGGAACTTTTTACAGAGGATGGAAAGTGTGACACTGAAATCCAAAGGTGCATTGGGGTGGCGAAAGTTGTCTTCCAAATGCTAAGCAAAGTATTAAGAAACAGGAAAATCTCATTCAAAACAAAGAGAGTACTGAACTGTTATATAATATCAGTCCCTCTATATGGCAGCGAATGCCAGGCAGTCTCCTCACAGAAGAGACTTGAAGCAACGGAAATGTTCTACAGAAGAATGCTGAGAATACCATGGACCGAACATGTGAGCAATGATGAAGTTTTAGAGAAAATGGAAACAAAAAGAAAACTTATACTTAGAATCAGAAAAAGCAGGTGAAATTATTAGAGCACATAATTAAA